ATCGAAGTGCTGGATCTGAGGAAGGAGGAGGCGGCTGCCGCACTGTCTCTGCCGCCCTCGCCGCTGCCGGCAGCCGAGCCGGCCGCTCCCGACGCGGAGCCCGCGGGGGAGGAGTGCAGCTGGGCCGGCCTCTTCTCCTTCCAAGACTTGCGGGCCGTGCACCAGCAGCTGTGCTCGGTGAACTCGGAGCTGGAGCCCTACCTGCCTGCCTTCCCCGAGGAGCCGTCGGGCATGTGGACGGTGCTCTTCGGAGCCCCGGAGCTATCCGAGCAGGAGATGGACTCTCTCTGCTCCAGACTGCAAGTTTACTTGGTCCACAGCTTGGATACCTGCGGCTGGAAGATCCTTTCGCAAGTACTCTTTACCGAGACTGACGACCCCGAAGAGTATTACGAGAGCCTGAGTGAGCTGCGACAGAAGGGGTACGAGGAGGTGCTGCAGCGGGCCCGCAGGCGAATCCAGGAGGTGAGGCTACAGTATGGTCCAGATAACTCCATTTTAGCGTTACCTTTTCTTTACACTGTCACATCTTTTTAGTTTTTCTCTCGAGCTGCTCCCCTCTACTGCGGAAATCATCGAACCATGGGGCAAAAAAAAAGCACAAGAAAACTGTCTAGTTTAAAAAAACGAACAAAAAAGCTTTGCGAATCTCAAGTAGAAAATGAGGCTTAACCTTTCTAAGGTATCTGGGGCCAGGATTTAAGAAGGTGTAGATTTCCCTTGTTGTCTGAGTACTCGGTACTTTATTATGTGCAATTAGATGTGGATGTTTGTGAACAAGTATCTGATGGATTTGGCAAGGTCTCACAGATTTTTGTTTTTGCATTGCTTTGCAGCAGGACGTGTTGGCATCTGAATTTTTCTGTTTAACGGGAGCAATAACATGGTGTTTATTTTGACAGTACAGTTTAGGCACTTGAGACCAAAAAATTCTAGGCTCCTAAAAGCTCTGGGCGCTGAATCTGGTATTCAAGTGAGATGATGTTTTCTAGTGTAATTAGAGTAACTACAGCTTTTGTTCAGCTGGTAAGTTGTTAAGAGTTGGTGTTTTCAAAACCAAGCTGTCAGGTCCTAGCAAGTATTTACTGCGCTGACATTGCTAATGTCTGGCAAGACCTGGATGCTTCAGGACACACTCTCTTTCTCGTACCATATACTGTTTAAACGAAAGTAGTTGAAGAGGTTCTGCTAATTAACTTGTAGCATCGGTGTGTGAGAATTTTTTTGACATCCTGGTGGACTGAAGTATATGAGGACCCGGATTTCCCCAGTGTAAAAGGAGAGTTTTACACTTGTTTTTATGTTTCAGTCACCTCTGACCAGAATGTACCAGGGTCTGTCTAGTTGTGACTGTGTGTATGAATGAGGATATGGAGTTGTTTGTTTTTGCAAATGCCATCTAAATTCTGTTGTACGCTTATAGGTCAAGTTCGGCTGCTTTGGCTGCCGGTGTATATCCTACCAGTGTTGTGTGTTCAAAAATGCATGGTGATGAACGTTTTTCCTTTGATGGAGTATGAGCGTGTCTGCTTGCTGTCTGTTTTGATGGCAGATAGTTTTGAGTCATTGTAGGATACAGGCTGAGTTTTTCCTTAGGTACTGGAGTTACAGAGTTTGAGAAAATTGACTTTTCAATCATGAGATCATGCTAAGAGCATCCAAGTGTAGCATTGTCAAGTAAAAGTTTATTTAAAAATGGTTATTTTAAGGTATATAATTGTGATTTTTCTTTTTTTTTTATGGCTGTTTAAAGGACTGGATTAATCCTTGCTAATTTTGATATACAACTGGTAATTAGTCTAATAGTCCTCTGCAGTAGTTTTAGTCCAGAGAATATAAAAACATACTGTCCTTCGCTTCTTTGTTTGACTACATGACTGCTTGAGAGTGCGTGCTTAGCTTGACTTAGCCTTCAGCTCAGCAGTTTTTATAAAGACCTGAGCAGGGCAAGAGAAGTTCCTGTTAAACGTGGAGTTTGGGAACTAGGTACCTGACTCAAAGCACATGATGGTTTTTGATGAAACACTAATTAAGAATTACTGAGCAAGATTCTTGGAGAATCTCAACTTCTGTTGTGTTCGTGCTGGTACTGTTGGCAAAAAAAGAGATCAGTTATCAGGAAGCAATGCAAGCTTTATCTGTCAAGCTCTCTAAAACTACAATATCTTACTCCCTGTTAATGTTCAGGACATGGTGCAGACAAAATTGCAGACCCGATGTTTGTGTTTGGCTACAGTTCAACCTTCCTTTCCCATGGTAACCAATCCAGTAGTGTACCTAAAGTCAGTACAACTGTACTTCTGTCTGTCGGTTGTGTAAATTGATCCTTCTTTAATTAAAGGTAGTTTGTGTTTAAGAAAAGAAACCAATAGAATGACCTGCTCTTTCCCTCTTGGCTCTCAGGTTTTTCTTTTCCTTACCTTTTAGTGGTTTACTTTGGCCACAGGAAATGTCTTTCTTTTAAGCAAATACTGATACTATTTGTCATTGCAATTCTAAGCAAATGAAGCAATGGATGATGGGTAGTGTTAGGTATTTATGAAGTAAAAGGTTTTTTGTACTTTAAAGAAAACCCACTGAATCCATTTTTCATCTCTCACTTAAATTTACTTTTCTATCTATGCTTGAAGTCTGCCTGTTAGCTGTTTGCAGGAGTGTTGGATTCCTGCATTTTTAAACACTTTAACAAGAACTTTTGGGGTAAAGGGGCAGTGATTGAGCAGCACTGGTAACCAAAACATATAGGAGAATAATGAATGCAGAGGGTCTTTATTAATGTAAAATTGTGCAAAATAAATATTTACAAATCCAAGACCTTGGCTTAACATCTTAAAATATGCCTCTGCCATTTATAATTATTTCATATATGACTTTTCTCCAGGACAGATTCCTCTGTGCAGTTAGAGTACTACTTGAGAAATGCTTGCAGTTTCTGCTGATTGTATTCTTTGGGGTGGAGAAGCAAAGTGAGCAACAAAACCTCTCATGTACATTGTTTCAGCATCCCCTGTTTGGCCATCTGTTGCTTTCCATAGTTACACACAAGCCCGTTTATTTTCACAGCAGTTAATAATTGTTATATTTTCTAATAGATGTTTGTCTCAGTTATCAACCTTTTAATAAGTCAGAAAGGTGTTGCAAGTAGAAACAGATCCAAGATGAGGAAGAAAAGTAGCTGTAGAGGAACTGTGAGATCTGGAATTATTTTCTTCTGTATAATTTTTTGCACATCTATTTTTTTCAAATAAAACTATTCTGGAATAGTTTAGGAATTTAATTTATGTTAAAGTAAAAACTTGTATCTAAAGGAGCAAATTTTGTTCTACCTCATTTTTGAGAACTAATAAATACTTGTTTAGGGCCCTTGTTCAGTATGTTTATGCCTGTCTAAAAAATTCCTTGGGTACTCAGCTACAGGTCTAAGCTCCCAAATGGGGACATGATACAGAATCAGTTAATAACCAGATAAAAAGATGTTATTATTTCAACAGAGAGGATGCCATTGAATCCTTACTTGGGATTCCAGCTTCTTGGCCAGTATTTCTAAATCTTGAACTTTTTCATCTAGAAGGCAGATAAAGTTTGTCTCTGTACTCCTGCTCCTGCCAGTTTGCTGCCTATGTTCCTTCTATAACAGGGGAGTTTTTCTAGGATAAGTGTACATGCTTGTAAATTCTTGTGAGTATAGTAATATCAAAGATTATGTCGTAGCTCTTTGTCCAGTGCTGTTTTGGCAAAAGGTTGCGTGTAGTCACTGTTTTCCTGAATAGAGAAGTGTTAGTCTAAACTCTGGTTAAGAGGGTTTGGTGATTTAACCATGCCAACAAACATATTTCATTGTAGGCTTATCCTTTTACTTGCTCTTGCATAGTGGGCTGTGAGTTTGGGAAGCCTATCTTTATATTACATGCCTACTTCAGCATCTTTGAATTAATGACACCTCTGAATCTCTCTGTTCCTTATAGCTCTTAATTGCCATGGCAGTCTAAAATTTGGTGGACAATGGTCTGTAGGATATTGAATGCTAGTTATAAAATGCTTTTGGTTTCTTGTTGCTCTGTAAACCCTATGAATGCTAATGTCTGCAGGCAGACTGTTTAAGACAGTTTTGCACCTCTGTTCTCTGTGGGTTGAGTTGCTTTAATAGGACAGTTCAGAAACACTTTTTAGTGCATGATTGAATTCTGGAGAAATTCTAAGAACATCTTATTTTCCGTGGCTAACTTAAGACTGCCTTGCGAGTGAGGATTTACTGCTATTTTAAATCTCCTTCCCCTGTCTAGTGGGATATTTTACTAAGCATGAGGATAGCCCTGAAAATTTTTATCTTATGTTGGTTAACTTAATTTTGTTTTGAAGGGGCTAGAAAGGCTAAGGAAAAATAAATAAGGAAATTTAAATTTAAAAAAATCAAAATTTTTAAAAAAATATTTTTTTTGTAAAGTAAAGGCTTGTCATTTTAGGCATTGGAAGTTCACACCTGACTCATTCTGCAAGCATCAAACTCAATAGTAAGGGCACTGTGATACACACTGTGATGTGGAGTAGTTCCCCCTGTCCCTTTGCTGCAATAATAAAAATCTTAAATCACATGAATATTTTGTTTTCAGTGTTTCATTGAGTTTCTGAATTGTGTTCTGTATAGGTAAATCCATGTTTAAAGTTAAATGCTGATGATGTGGTATTAGTGGAAGATGTGGTAGTAAGGTAGAGAGGGCTATAGCACTTGAGATTCTTGGACCCTTATAGCAGCATGGATAATTAAATATGGCACAGCTTAATCATATGGTGGAATCGCAGTTGCTGAAAATCTAAGATGTGAGGACATACCATTTTAAAATATGTCCTTTAAAATTAGTTGTAGGAATCCGGTATTTAAAGGACATTAGACCACATTACCATAGTATTTGGTTCTCTCTTTAGTCTCTATATTAAAACATTCTAAGTCCTAAGAAAAACAACTATTTACCTTTTAATTTGAAATATTTTATCTTTTATCCTTCTTCTGTTTGATATCATCTTGAGTAAGAGTTTAATTTTTTCTGCTGCCCTTCCTTTTTATTTCTGTTTTAGAGGTAGCAGCAGATTGTTTCAGAGATTTATAGGCTTGTGATTACAGGTTAATGAAATTTTTTTGTTTGTTTTTGTCAGCCCTTTTTTGAGATCTCTTGATACTTGTTTCAGATTTGAAGTAATTTGTTTCTCCTCCCCCTCCCCCCTTCTGCAGTGTATTTATGGTGTATATGTATAGACTTTATGTATTGCTTTATTAATGTCTTCAGTTTGACAAGAGCTAGATGAAGTCATGAGTACTAGAGCTGTATTTGAAAGCAGTAGAATGGTTAAAATAATGTGTTTCTTTAAAACATGGACAAGTTATATTTGTATACAAAGAAAATGACATCTGTTTCAAAAATGAGTTCTTCCTTGACAGAATTTAAGTCTTAATGAACAGTATCACTGTA